GTTCGGAGCAGCCGTTCCCACCGCGCTCCCCGCCAGCACCGCGCTGTCAGCACCCGGACGTCAGCCCAACTACAGTCACTATGCCGACGCTGTCTCCAGTTACCTCTATCACTGTCAGATTTTTCTTCCAGTCAACTTGCCAAAAGCTATAGTAAATCATATCCGCTTTGGTACAAAAAACAGATAAAAAAGAAAGAAAGAAAATAATCCACTTCCCAGAAACAAACGAAATGGAGAGATGTCGAGAGGTAACAAACGAAAACAAAATGGCAGGACGCGAAATCATCGACCCAAAACAAGACAAATGTGCGAAAAAAATATATAGTAACTGCTTCATGTATTTCTAGTAAAACAATAAACACACTAATAAATAACATAACAATAAATAACATACACCAAAATGCTTCTGAAAAGTAAACTCAGTCGTGAATAAAAGACATAAAAGAGAGTAAAAACGATAATGCAGCTAATGTGGGGGAAGTAAACCAGTATGAATGGAATGGACAAAACAAGCATTATGTCAATATGGGATGTTATACGACGATAATTTGTAGTATAACAATATGTTACGGTATATGTTGACGGCACACTTGCAGACAGACAGACCCACACACAATCAGAGTATAATAGGCTTCAGCAGATCAGTATAATATACTATACACATATAATATACTAGAAATATAACAAATATCCATGTTTAAAAAGAAACCGATATCTAAGTTTGTCTGGTACTTGAGGAATGAAACTATGCTGTGTCTTTCATTTTTTTTTTTTTTTTAGCTTTACGGTGTTTGTTTTCTAGTTTTGCCTTGTATACAGTTTAAAATATATTCTGAAATACAGATAATTCCAAACCATTTTGCTGGAAAGATTTAGATCGCCAGAAAAGAAAAGAAAAGAAAAGAAAAAACTGTAAAATAATCGCACGCAAAAAAAAGGAAAAAGAGAAAAAAACACTATCCCTCACACGGTTTCAAAACTAGGCCGGGCTATTTCCATTTCCTTTCACTGTTAAAAAAAGAAAAAAAAAATGTCTCCAAACATTTAAGATAAAAAGTCAAGTTGGGTATTATTCATATCAACACTTACAAATATACAGTCGGTATAAGTTTTCCCTCGGCATTCGGAAATTTACTTTTTATGTATTTAATACAGTACATTTTCTAAAACATTATTTTTGTATGTGTGGCTATTTTGTTTGTTGTGAACCAGCGTACTTTGTCTGTACTTTAGTTGGTATGTAAGTGTTGGGTACAAAAATGAATATACATGTAATTAAACATGTTCTTGACAAATTTTCTCTCTTTCACTCATTCACTAACCCACTCTCTCTCTCACTCGCTCTCATTCACTCACTCATTCATTCATACACTCACTCAAACACTCACTCCACTCCTCACTCACTCCCCCCCTCCCCCCTCCCCCCACACGCACGCAAAAGAGAGACCAAATCCTCTCCACGCATTCCCGGGCGAGGAGGGGAGCCAACGCCGCCGCGGACTGAACTCTCCCTGAATCGCCGTCGTAGGTAAAAATCTCACGGGGTTTCTGGCTAGTCCAAATAACCGACACAATAACTATTGGAGATATGGACAAGACATCGCTCTCCAAGTGCTACTCGGTGAGCCGGAGGGGGGAAAAAGGGGAGGAAATGGAGAGCGGATGGTGGAGAGCGAGCGAGGGGAGATGGGAGGAGGAGGAATAGAGGAGGAAGGGGAAGAATGGGAGGAGGAATAAGGGAAAAGAGAAGATGGGGGGAGTAAGAGGAGGAGAAGGAGGAGGAGGAGGAGGAAAAGAGAACAGGAAAGGGAAAAGGATAAAGAAAGAAAAAAACGCTTAAAGGAAGCAAAAGAGGAATAGGAGGAAGAGTAAGACATGGAGGAGGAGGAGGAGGAGGAGAATGAGATGGAGAAGGAGAAGAAGAAGGATGAGGAGGAGGAGGAATAAGAAGAAGAGGAGGAAGAGGAGGGGCAGCAGCAGCAGCAGGAGGAGGAGCAGGAGGAGGAGGAGAGCGGCAGTCTCCACCCTCCTGGCCTCCCCCTGGCCCCGCCCCGCCTCCCACCCCCGCCCTCTCCCCCCCCCTCTCCCACGGGCGGCAGCACCATGAGCTCAATACCTTTAAGCACACGAGCCAGACTAAGGCCGGCAGAGGTCGCGCTACACATGCAGACCACATTACCGTCACCACGAAGGATACCGACTCCGGTTTCCCTTTCACACCCGATGACACTTTATCTCCGCCCTTTTAATTTTTCTTCCCGTCCGCTCCAAGACGCCGTATCGTCTTGGAGGAGGGGAAAAATCCTCGCTGGGAGAGATAGCGGCGAGAGCTTCGGATGCTGCGAGCTGGTGGCGGCGGCAGCGGCGGCGGAGAGACAACGATATCATCTCCCCTTGAATGTGTGGTGATGATCAGGTCGATGAAAAATCAACGGGATGAACATACACTTAAAATGAAAAATAAAAAGAAGAGGAAATCAAATGAGCTTCTAAGTTTTTCTTAGATCCTCATGTCGGATAAAAAAAGGTCAAAATGATACCATATACACCGTTCTTTTTGGGAGTGGGAGGCGAGAAAGGTCATTAACGAATGAAAACCGCCGTCCCCCAAGCGTCCTTCAACAGCTCTTTGCCCTGAGCGTCGGGAACAGCGCCGGGATCATACTATAACTTGCTCAGGATCCCTCGCTATCCTTAGGCATCCTGCGCCGTCGTTATGGTCCAAACGCGAGGACCGAGAGAGAAAACGGGAAGCGCGAGAACGAACGGGAAAGTGCAAAAAGAAAATTCGAAAAAGACAAAAAAAACAACAACAACAACAACAACGTTCACTGTGTCACAAGCAAGCAGCCTCGAATGCGGGTTCTGCAGGAACACCCTACGCAGGCAGAAGTCCATGCGGTATCAGAACCAAAAATGAACGAACAGACGGTCTTTAATAATCAGAAGGACATAAAGGGTAGATAATGTCAGAGAATTCGGACTTACCGAAAAAGCCATGATGGACCACCAAGAGTGCTGGTTGTTGTAGCTACTTTCCGGGTTGATAAGGCTTCTACACTACCGTGGCCGCGCCCTGGAAGCAAGAAGGAAAGGTGTGGTTAATGGCAGTTATAAATGTTCTGTACTTGTGCCGCACATGCAGCTGGCACTTACCTCATGCATAACATGTGGATTTATCGTATAAATATTTTAAACACCTAAATCAGGTCATACATACCATTTTCATGGAATCACATCGTCATCAATCAACCATCAATCAAATGAATAAATTCTCGAGATCAAAGGCTGTGAGAAACTCCTCTTTCCCTCGTTCTTGCAAACATTTTACACGAAAATGCACATATCATTGCAGTCTGTTGTTCATATTCACACACATCAATACTAAATATGTGTGGAATGTTCAACTTCTCCGCATAAGAGTACCTGCACTACAAGCTTCATTACGTGCATAACATACCTATATTTCGATTATATTTTATAATAAGAACCTAATTGCAGTCTTGAGTAATATATAGCCATAGTGATTCCAACACTCATTTCTAGGTTCAGAATGAATTCAGTATCATAACATAAAAAAAACAACTTCTGCGACACAAAACACAACCCATTTCAGAATATTTCCTTAGAAAGCCACGCAACCCCACACTAAGTGAAACGCGGCACGAGAGTCCGTAGAGTTTGTCACCCAGGCCGCAAAGAAGGCACAGTCATTAGGGTATGATATCCGAATATTGACATGTCCTACTCATGGTGGCAGGTACGCGGGTCTGTCCCACCGTGACCTACATCTGCAGCAGGGAGATGTACCCTAATCTACAGCATCCCACGCTATTCCTTAAAGACATGACGCCTCACTTAAGGACAGTTCGGATATATGATCAGGGTAAAATATGATGATCGCTCATAATTATGCTATTCTGTACATTCTCTCTCTCTCTCTCTCTCTCTCTCTCTCTCTCTCTCTTTCTCTTCCTCTCTCTCTCTCTCTCCCTCACTCACCCCCATTTTTATCTATATCTGTGTATCCCATGTCCTCTTTTAGCTCCCATCTCTCTCTCTCTACCTCTCTTTTGTCATACCGCCCTCTCTACTCGCTCTCGCCCCTTCTTTCACCCCCCCTCTCTCTCTCTTATGAGCGCTCATAATAAGATTTTGTGTAATTTCTATTTCTCTCTCTCTCTCTCTCTCTCTCTCTCTCTCTCTCTCTCTCTCTCTCTCTCTCTCTCTCTCTCTCTCTCTCTCTCTCTCCCTATATTCCTCTCTCCAGCTCTTACCCCTTCCCTCCCTTCTACCTGTTCCCTCATACTCTACCTCCCTCCCATCTTGCTCTTTCCCCTATTCTCACTTCCTCCCTCCTTCCCTCCCTTCCCACCCTCTCTCCTATTCTCCCTTCCTTCCTCCTTCCCTCACTTCCCATTTTCTTCCCTATTCTCTCTTCCTCCTTGCCACCCTCCCTTCCCATTCCCTCTCCTATTCTCCCTCCCTCCTACTCCCCATCTTTACCGCTCCCCCCCCACCCCACTCCCTCATGAATACCATCAAAACGGAGTAACTAGAAAAAGGAGTCTTTTAGCTGGAAAGGAAACGGGATGCGAGATTCACTAGGAAAAGGGGAGAGGGGGGGGAGGGTGAGGGAGAGGAGAGTTGGGGAGAGGAGGCGAGAGGGTGTGGGAGGGGGGAAGGGAGAGACTCTAAGGAAGGGGAGAGGAAAGGAGGGAAGAAAGAGGCGAGATGAGGGGGAAGAGAGGGAGAAGGAGGGAAGGAGGCGGGAGGGAGAAAGGAAGGGTAGGGGAGAGGAGGAGAGAGGAAAAGGGGAAGAGACGGGAGGGTAAGGGAAAAGGAAGGGAAGAGAAGGAGGGAAGGTGAATGGAACGGAGAGAAGGGATAGGAAGGAAAAGGCAGTGAGGGAACCTAGACGTGGGAAAAGAAAGGGGGATAAAAGGAGAGGAGAGGAAGGGAGACGAAAGAAGGGGATGAGAAGAGAAAGGTGATAAGAAGGGACAGGAAGGAAAAGGAAGTGAAAGAATGGGAAGAGGGAAGGGGAGGACAGAGGAGAGAGGAAGAGAAGTGGTGGGGATAAGGGGAGGGGAGGGGAGGGGAGGGGGCACCATGAAAGGCTGCAGTTAACCCCGCCACACACATGCTCACTCTCACACCGGAAGCTCCACTGCAGTACCGAAACATCGATCCTCACCCGACACCATCCAGAGCCCACGACCCCTCCCCTCCCCCCTCCCCCCCATCTCCCACAATACTGAAAAGTCCCCTCCACCCCAACCCATCCCCAGGCCCTCCCCACCTACTCAAAAATAAAATAAAATAAAATAAAATAAAAACAAAAACAAGGGAAAAAAACGAGAAAACATTAAAAAAAAAAAAATGAATGAAAAGGCCACACACTTGTCTCTCAGCATGTAGTTACGACCCCGGGACAATTTTCCACCTTCGCTCTTCATTACCCTCTATCGCGGCCGTATCATAACGGGGGGCCGCTGGATCACGCGCTTACACCCACGGCCTATAGTCCTCTCCTCGTAAATATGACCTTAAAACCAGAGCCACGGAGTTTTCATTTATTAAGTCTTTTCCAATTTCCAATCTTTTTTAATATTTTTTTTTTTTACTATTACCATTATAATCGTTATTATTATTATTTTTATTATTATCACTATAATTATTAGCATTATCATTTTTACTATTATCTTTATCATTACTACTATCATTAGTGCAACTATCATCATTATCACTACAATTAAATGTACTACTACTACTTTTATCAATATCATTATAATCACCCTCATTTCTATCACTATCATCATCATCACTGCCGCAACCATCTCTAGCCTACGTCTTATAATCATCATAACCGTCATCATCAAATCAATCATTACCTCCAGTATCATGATCGCCACCATTACTACTGCCATTACCATTACCATTTCAAACAGCCACCATCCCAGCTACGACTCCAATAGGGAACAGCACGGCCCTAATCCTACATCAATTCTCGCCCAGTAATTTATGGTCCTTATCAATCCCCGTCTTATTGCTAATGTACACTTTACTTATATACGCATGTCCACGTTTCTATATACGTCTATACACATATGCACGCACGTATGCAAACACACACACACACACACACACACACACACACACACACACACACCCACACACACGAAGATAAGAAGAAAGAGGAATACGAAAATGAAGAAAGAAGGCAAAGACACAAAGAAAATGAAAGAGAAACAAAAGAAAAGGAAAACCAAAAAAGAGGCCAACACTAAGCCCCAAGTTAGGCTTCTGCTACGGCCGGAGTCCCAGCGAGGAATCAAACCCTAAATGAACAAATAATAAAAAGCCGCATCTCTCTCTCTCTCTCTCGGGGGGACGTGGGGGGGGGGCGGAGGAGGAGGAGGAGGAGGAGGAGGAGGAGGAGGAGGAGGAGGAGGAGGAGGAGGAGAGGGCCTGAGCGAACCTTCATCTTCCTCCCATAAATTACGGAAGGAGGGAAAAAATGGATCGCTGCCTCGCTCGCGGGATACTTCTTGAGCGCGATCTGGGCCGCAGGACGCGCGAGGGGCGGTGTCTTTATTTGCTTATTATTTCTATTTATTTTTCTTTCTTTCTTTCTTTCTTTTTCCTTTTTTCGTCTGGCTTTCTCTTTCTCTTTCTCGTTCGCTCATTCTCTCTCTCTCTCTCTCTCTCTCTCTCTCTCTCTCTCTCTCTCTCTCTCTCTCTCTCTCTCTCTCTCTATATATATATATATATATATATATATATATATACATATACACACACACACACACACACACACACACATATATAAATATATATATATATATATATATATATATATATATATATATATATATATATATATATATATATATATATATATATATATGTATAAGTATATATGCATACATGCATGCATACATATATACGTACATACATACAAACATACATACATGCATACATACATATATACATATAAACATACATACATGCATACATACATATATACATACATGTATGCATGCATGCATACATACATATATACATATAGACATACTCACACACACACACACACACACACACACAAAAGCACACACACACCTTCCCCTTCTCACCCTCTCCTACCTTCTCCACTCCTCTTCCTCCTCTCCCTCCCACTTTATCCCTCCCCCCCCTTCCTTCTAAACTCACACTCAAACGGTCCCATAAAATTGCAAACCGCACATCAACAGCATTTGGATAAAACCCCCGCCTCATCATTGCAACGGAGCAACAACCGGGCAATGAATTTATCAAAATGCAAATACGAGACGCGGTTATCAAAATTCTTAGTTTTTCTTTTTTTATTTCCTTTTTTGTGTGTGTGTGTTTTTTTTTTTTTTTTACGACCTCTCGTTTCGCTTGCCAATACGGTGGACAAATCGGAAACTGTTAGCTGTTACTGGAAGACCTTGGGGCGTCCCTGATTTAAGGGGAGGAGGGGGAGGGAAGGGGGAAGGAGGGGGTTAGGAAGGGGTAGGGTAGGGGGTAGGGTAGGGCGTGGGAGGGAAGGGAGAGTGAAGGGGGAGGGAAGGGGGAGGAAGGGAAGGGAGGGAAGGGAGAGGAAGGGAAGGGAGGGAAGGGAGAGGAAAGGGGGGGAGGAGGGAGAGGAAAGGAGGGAAGAAGGGGAGGGAAGGGGAGGAGGGAGGAAGGGGGGAAGGACGGGGGAAGGGAAACGGGTTTATTCCTAAATATCCCGAGGAAGCAATGGGACCGAAAGGAGTAAAAAAAGAGAAAGGAATGGGGATTTAATGAGAGAGAAGAGCAAGAATAAGAAAGATATTTAAAGAAAGCGCGGAAACGACAGATATCCAACAGAAAATACAAAGTACAAAGGATGGATCTTACACGAAAGAACCGTGAAAAAAGGCAACTATTTAAAGAAAGTACAAAGAATAAAAGGAAAAAGAAAAAAGAAAACAGAAGAGAAAAACGAATTTATACTTGAAGACAGAGTAAGATATTTCAAGAAATAACTGGGAATGAAACAGAAAAGGAAAAATAACTCCCTCCCTC